TTGTGGGGGGGGGGGGGGGGATGTATGATTTCATGGAAAAAAATAGGTCATACCTTATTTTCCCATAATATTTGTCATGTATATTAAGAAGTCATATTAATAATTCAATTAAAAGTGACAGTAAACGCATTTATAATGTTGCTGTTCTTTTGAACTTAATATTTATCAAAGAACCCTGAAGGAAAATGTTTCTTGAGCACCAAATCAACATGTTAGAATGATTTCTGAAACAAAACAAAAGTATTTGCACCACACCACATTATTTAGACAATAGTCTTAACCTTTGTGCCAAGAATATGTTTTTTAAGATGACTGTTTTTGTTTCTATAAAATAACTGAACTATTGAGATTGATGATGAAATTATTTATAAAGAGGGAAAATTTACTGGTAACTGGTTGACCAGAATGCTATATAACTCATGTATTGGCAATGAATGAGGACATTCAAAATGAATGATATTTCGATGAAAAACTTTTGGTAACATTTTATTTTAGGGTCTCTTAACTAGTTGCTTATTAGCATGCATGTTATTACAATATTAGCCATTTATTAGTACTAATTAAGCACATATTAATGCCTTATTCTACATCCCTAATCCTACCCAATACCTAAACTTAACAACTACCTTACTAACTATTAATAAGCAGCAAATTAGGAATTTATTGAGGGAAAAGTCGTAGTTAATAGTGAATAAGTGTTCCCTATTCTAAAGTGTTACCAAACTTTTTTTTTTTTTAATAAATTTCTTTGATTTTAAATTGTTGCAGTACACACTAAACTGAGGAAAACATAAAACAATGTGACTTAGTTCAGTATCTTGTTAACTACATTATCAGTAAAGTAATCATTGGGAACACATTTATTACACAACTGGAACCGTTTCCTGAGAATGATCCAGAATTCTTGCCATTTGTTGAGCTCAAAGCATTTTACCTTTGACCTTTATCACTGTCTAATCACCTTCCTTATCTTTCTCTGTTGCCGGACGGATGATCTCTCCTTTTCTCATTTTGCTCCATTCTTCATTATTACTCTATTCTCTTCTCTTCTCCTCTTCCTCTTCCTGGTTCTCTTTATCATCCTCTCCATGTTTTGAATCTCTCTCAGTCCTCTCTCTGTTCGGCTTATGACGTTCTGCAGTTTAACCTGCGTCCGCTCTGGGCCGTGGTCGCGGCCTTGCTCATGGTGGAGAGCACAGGAACAAGGCAGAAGGAAGGAAAGGTGGAGAGTGTCAAGAAGCTTATCCCCGAGTCCACTCAGACTCCACCCCCTTCCTGGCAAATATGGGATCTGATTGGCTCAAGTCTACTGCACGTGTTCTGTCTGGTGATGCTGTTTGTGGCCTACAGCTGGAGCGAATTTAAATAACGCATATGAACTAAAAACACTCAAATAACACATTATATTATTTACTGGTCCTTGAAAGCACATTGAACAGTTTGTGATGGCCTCACTTAAAGGGAAAGTCCACCCAAAAAATTAAAATTCTGTCATCATTTACTCACCCTCAAGTTGTTCCAAAACTGCATGAGTTTTGTCTTCTGTGGAACATAAAAGAAGATATTTTGAAGAATGTGGGTAACCAAACAATTGCTGGTACCCATTGACTTCCATAGTATTGTTTTCCATACTATGGAATTCAATGGGGACCAACAACTCTAAGTAAAGGATGACAGAATTTTCATTTTTGGGTGATCTATCCCTTAAAATGAGCACAGCCTGGACGAAAAAATATGTGTTCCTGTCAGTCAGAGCACATTTAGTTTCATACGTTTGACCAACCCTTACGTCTTGACTTGGCTATGATGAAACCCATACATAACACAAAACATGCAACATTTTTGTAAGAACAACATGTGATCCAGGAAGAGATTTAGATGTATTCATGTTTGATTAAGTGTTATTTATTAGTTGGCAAATAACATATTTATTTGTCCTTGCAAAATGCTAAGAAAACCTTTAAACATCACTTTAATAAGGAACGGCAAATGGCCAGGTTCTCACTCACTTCCACCTCGGTACAAAACTTGTTTCAGAAAGTTACATTTCAGCAGTCATAACACTGAATTTTGTTGGTAGTCTTAAAAAAATGCACATATTAAACAATATAAGTTATGTATTTATTAGCATCTGCATGATAAAACAAAAATAATACAAATGGATATGGAGGTCTTGCCTCATGCAATATATCTACAGGAATCAAGCGCACAGTTGATCTGCTTCACAGAAACGATCTGCAGACAATAATACCAGGACACTCGAGTAAGTGAAGGCCCAGATGCCATTAAAGCAAAATTATAGCTTTGCTTTGCACAGAAGTCTTGTATGGTGAGATCAAATCTATGATTAACAACATTTAATCATTTGTGTAAGGGCTAATTTATCTGTTGGATATAAAAAGCAGCTACTTTTGGTTTTTAAGAGCCTGATATATTATTGTTTAGATTGGGAATTATTAAATATCCTGCACAGTCATTGTAAATTATTACATTTTTATTTTATCCAAAACGCCATCTATAGGATGAAAGAGGTCAGAATATGACTAATGAATCGTGGGTTTCATTTCCTGTTCATTAGTAAAACAGAATGACATGAACAGAGTGAACCAAATGTATTTTTTAATTAATTTAATAAGCATCATTCCACGGAGATATGACTAATCCGAATCAAACAATGAGGAATAACAGGGTTGGAGAATAAGATTTAATTCATATACTCTTATCAGAGATCTGTAATAGAGGCCGAGGTGGGTTTTTATATTATGAAATATCAGATTGACACAATTTAATAATTGACTAATCAGTGTAGTGGTTGTATGTGATTTACTGCTGTGAAGGTCTGTACGCAAGGTGTCTCTGGAATGGAGGGTCTCTTCTAATTGGATCCTCTGATTCTATTTTAGGTTCCGATCTTTATCTCACATAATTGAATGGCCTTGTTTATCTCATCACAGATAAAAGAAATCTGTAAAAGGAGCCGTTAGTAAATGAGCAGACAGTGATGTCACTGAGGCCTCTTGACATCACTTCCTCAAACTACAGAATGCTTTGAACATTATCTGCGTGATCACAGCAGTTATAATAACTGGCATTGCTTTCATCATTCAGTTTGACAAAAATAAAGGCAATATTGACTGTTCAAGACCTTTTGTTCGGTATAATTTCCCAGTTATTTCCTCATTTGTAAAAAAGCTACAAGATGCGAAATGTGTTTGAATTGCTTAAAACGCTTAAATTAGATTGTGTGGGTTCCTCTGACGGTTCAGCTGCTTCTGTTTGTCCGGCTCTAGACTTCTTGACTCCTGTCAGTGTTGAATAGTGTTCAGTGCTGTTGCTGCTGCTAATGGATTTTGTAAGGCTTTGTGGTTTTTATGAGCCTGTAAATGAAAGGAATAAATGTACAGTTTGGGTTGTTTTTCTCATCTGTGTGGTTCTGTTTCTTTAAGACAATTTTTGTTTTACTGTTTAGTTTTTTTTTTTTTTTTTTTTTTTTTTTGGAAAAAACCTTCCGT